CCCACCTGGCCCCGACCCCCCCAGGCCTCTGGGCTCTGTTCTTGGGACCCCCCGACCTGACGATTTCTCGCCCAAAAACGACCAACGCCCCCCACCTGGCCCCCACCTGGCCCCGACACCCCCAGGCCTCTGGGCTCTTTTCTTGGGACCCCCGACCCCACGATTTCTCGACCAAAAACGACCAACGCCCCCCACCTGGCCCCCACCTGGCCCCGACACCCCCAGGCCTCTGGGCTCTGTTCTTTGGACCCCCACCTAGCCCCGAGACCCCCAGGCCTCTGGGCTCTGTTCTTGGGACCCCCCCCACCCCACGATTTCTCACCCCAAAACGACCAACGACCCCCACCTGGCCCCCACCTGGCCCCGACACCCCCTAGGCTCTGGGCTCTGTTCCTCGCCCCCCGACCCCGCGTTGGGCCCGCCAAAACGACCACGCCTCCCACCTGGGCCCCCACCTGGGCCCGAAACATCCTACCCCCCCCCGCCTCTATGCTCTGTTCTTGGAACCCCCGACCCCACGATTTCTCGCCAAAAAAACAAGCAACGCCTCCCACCTGGCCCCCACCTGGTCCCGACACCCCCTAGCCTCTGGGCTCTCTTCTTGGGACCCCCGACCCCACGATTTCTCACCCAGAAACGACCAACGACCCTCACCTGGAGCCCCCCAACAAAAACCCTGTCCCGACACTCCCAAGGCCTCTGGGCTCTGTTCTGGGACCCCCCGGACGCCCAGAAGTTTTGTCAAAACGACCACCGCGCCCCCACCGGCCCCACCTGTCCACCGCCACCCACAGGCCTCTGGCTCTGTTCTCGGAATTCCCTCCACACCACGATTCTCAGCCGCCCCCCAAACCGTACCCTCCCCCCCCCCCCCCCCCCCTGGCCCCTACCTGGCCCCGACACTCCCAGGCCTCTGGGCTCTGTTCGTGGGGCCCCCCACCCCACGATTTCTCGCCCAAAATCAACCGATACCCCCCCGCATGGCCCCCACCTGGCCCCGACACCCCCAGGCCTCTGGGCTCTGTTCTTGATCCCCCCACCCCACGATTTCTCGCCCCAAATCGACTGATACCTCCCCGCCTGGCTTTCTCGCCCAAAATCGACCGATCCCCCCTACCTGCCCCCCCCCCCTCCCCCTCTCCCCACCTGGCTTCCACCTGGCCCCGAATCCCCCAGGCCACGGCTTCTGTTCTTGGGACCCCCCACCGTAACGGATTTTCTCGCCCAAAATCGACCCGATTTACCTTCCACCCTTACCCCACCCGTGGCCCCGACACCCCATTCTCTGGGCTCTGTTCTTGGGAACCCCCCACCCACGATTTCTCGCCTAGAAAATCAAACCGATACTCCCCCCCCCCCCCCTAGATGCCCCCACCTAGCCCGACACCCCCATGCCTCTGGGCTCTGTTCTTCGGTCCCCCCACTCCGCAATTTCTCTCCCAAAACCGACCGATACCCCGTACCTAGCCCTCACCTGGCCCCGACACCCCCAGGCCTCTGGGCTCTGTTCTTGGGACCCCCCACCCCACGATTTCTCGCCCAAAATCGACCGATACACACCACCTGGCCCCCACCTGGCCCCGACACCGCCAGCCCTCTGGGCTCTGTTCTTGGGACTCCCCACCCCGCGATTTCTCGCCCAAAATCGACCGATATCCCCCTTCCCCCCCCCCCCCCACCCACCCCACCTGGCCCGCACCTGGCCCACGTGGCAA